ATTGCCTTCCTCAATGGCAATACTAAGTATGTTCTTGCTTTTTTCAACCATGCATTCAACCATTTTGAGATTTCCTCTATTTGCAGCAACAGCAAGAGCAGTCCAACCAAGAGCTTTTATTTCCAAGTCTTCCTCTGTCATCAACTCCACCAACCCTTCCACAATATGCTCGTGCTGTAATTCTATTGCCATGTAAAGAGCTGTCTTTTTTGTGTATGGAATTCTTGTTCTTATTGCATTGGGATGTAGGGTAAGAAACTCCTTTGCTTTATTCCAATCCCCACTCCTCACAGCATTGAAGAACGGCTGATGCTGATGGAAGTCATCCACAGTCGCGTCATGTCCTGCCCCAAATTTTAATTACTCAATTGTTTCACATAACATAATCCATTTATTTCTTGTTTTAATAATGATTGAATGAATTGTACATGCATCTTATATGTACCTTTTTTTTTTATTCAATCAAATCTATCATGTGTGACTAGCAATGGCGGAACCAAAAATTTTCCTGGGGATGTGCTAAAATTTTATTTTATTTTTGTATGGGAGATCTATATAAACAATGAGAACCAAATTATTTATTGGTATGCTAATTGATACAGTGAGAACCAAGTGGGAATCAGAAACTAAAACTGTGGGAAGAAGAAACACAAAGAAAAGTACACTTCGTAGCAGTAGCATATCCAAAAAATTTAAACAGGGTCATAAACACAAAAGCTTTGTTGCACTTGCAGATCTGGATGCGAACCTGTAAATCGGAAGCAGAACTAAAGAGAAGAAAAGAATGGTTCCCACCATAGTGGTGGTGGATTCCCCCTCCTCTCATAGCACCCAGGAGAGAGAGAGAGAACTGGGAAAACCACATAATGAAGAAGTAATTGACCAAAAAAAAAAACAGAAGCAAAGGAAAAAGTAATTAAAAAAACAACGAACAATACAAAACTGAGAGAAGTGACTCCTTTTTTTAACACCAAACCAAAAAGCAATAAAAAATAACTTATATTAATATATATATATATATGCAGCAAGTATGTGACTTTATGGGCTACCTAGCCTAAAAAATGGTGGGATAATATTCGTGCGAGTAGGAAATACCTTATAAAATTTGCATACACCAGGCTCAAGCCCAGTCTAGTCTACATGTAGTTCCACCCTTGGTGGCTAGATGCGTAAACGAATGAGATATATTGACTGCGCATTAGCATGTATCAGATTTGATCTTATAAGAAAAATAATTCAATCCGATGCGTAACGAACCCCACAAAATATCTCCCCATCAATATTATTGGAGGGCTCCATCAACGAAGGGGATCACTAGAGTTAAAAACCCTCTTTGGAGCACGTTTTGTTATAGAATGAAGTTTTAATTTCCGCACTGCTGCACATATATTTGATATTGATGCCTGTAATTTTCATGAGGATATATATTTCTTTTATAAAAGTAAACTAATTAGTCCTTAAATGATCAGCACCTTTGCTTGTCACAGAGAGAGAATCAAGTATACCTGGGTTGTTGGATGAGTTTGCAGACTGAACAGGCGAATTACATGGAAGTAATGGCTGTGGCGTCAACCTTTCTGCCAAAGTATCCCAAGCAATCTTGGCTGAAGTCATGTCTCTAATCACCGAAAAAGCTTCTGGCCCGCACGAAATTTGGATTGTATGTAAAGCCATCGCATTCTTCTTCCTCCAAGTCTTGAGCCGATCATCAGAGTCTTGGTCTTCTCCTTTAGGAGGTTCAGCTGTAGCCTCCACTGCATCCCAAAGGTCTTGAGCCAACAAGTAATTTTTGACCAATACACTCCAATGCATATAGTTATTCTTGTGAAGAACTTCCATAACAATTGCACCTGCGAGGACGCCACTTGCTTCCATTCTTACTGGTCAAGCACACTACAAGAGAAAAAATTAAAGAGTGGTTTTAATGTCCTTGTAATAACTTGTAAAGAACCCAGTCATCCCTTCAATTGCTTATGCTGTAACAGGACCACATACTGCTTTTCTTCATAGTTGCTTTTCTCTCTTTTGCTTTCTCTTCTTTTAAATTAAACCTGAAACCTAACATATTAATGGATATGTGGTCAAACAAGTACGAAGGGCTCAGTGGAAGCTTTGTAAAAAGAAAAAGGAAAAGAGGAAAATGGGTAAAAAAACAAACCGAAGTTAAGGCAACAAACAAAGATCAAAGAAAGGATTGAGTTTTTGGAACATCGATGTGGCGTTAATTTTTTTTTTTTTTTTTTGGTAACAAGAAAGGCTAAAGCCCAACACAAACACTAATGTGGTATTAGTTTAAGACAGGTGTAGTCAATTAGATTTGTAAATTGAATCTTTTTGTGTTTTTTGGTATTCGAGTCTTGTAAAATGTCTTAGTGTGTTTGGGTTTGTTTTGGCTATGCAAAACGTTGACACACACATAGAATTACGCTAGGCTTTATATTTGTGAATTTCCTTTGCACACAAGTTGTGGGGACAAATAAAGTTTAAAAGATTGTGCAGTTATATATACGTGCTTTCACTACTACAAAAAGTGAAAAAGACGACCAGAACAAGACGACGGTAGAAGAAAAAACCGTCGTTGTGTTTAAAAAGACGACGGTAACAAAAAAACCGTCTTGGATAAGTGACTTAAACAACTAAAAAACGGAGGTACTATTGAATATTTTTTTATAACGACGCACACAAATAAAAAAGCGTCGTCTTATTAAAAAGGTTTTCTTCAGAGTTAAAATCTGACCAAAAAACGACGACAGCAGATATGACAAACGTCGTCTTTTAAAAATCAAGTGTCCTGTTTTTGGTAAAGACATGGTTGTTTTGAAAAAACTGTCGTCTATTATATGTAAAGATGACGGTTTTTTTTAAAAAGGGTTTTCTATTATGAAGTAAAGATGACGGTTTTTTTTTAAAAAGGGTCGTCTATTATATGTAAAGATGACACTTTGTTGTAAAAAAGGATCGTCTATTGTGAAGTAAAGATGACGGTTTTTTTAAAAAAAGGGTCGTCTATTATATGTAAAGATGACGCTTTTTTGTAAAAAAGGGTTGTCTATTGTGAAGTAAAGATGACGGTTTTTTTTTTAAAAAAGGGTCGTCTATTATATGTAAAGATGACGCTTTTTTGTAAAAAAGGGTTGTCTATTGTGAAGTAAAGATGACGGTTTTTTTTTTAAAAAGGGTCGTCTATTATATGTAAAGATGACGCTTTTTTGTAAAAAAGGGTTGTCTATTGTGAAGTAAAGATGACGGTTTTTTTTTTAAAAAGGGTCGTCTATTATATGTAAAGATGACGCTTTTTTGTAAAAAAGGGTTGTCTATTGTGAAGTAAAGATGACGGTTTTTTTTTTAAAAAGGGTCGTCTATTATATGTAAAGATGACGTTTTTTTGTAAAAAAGGGTCGTCTATTGTGAAGTAAAGATGACGGTGTTTTTTTAAAAAGGGTCGTCTATTATATGTAAAGATGACGCTTTTTTGTAAAAAA